GAGTTCGTAGGCGGGGTTTGGAGGTCTATTTGGGGTATACTTGAAATCTGTCCCAGAATCCCCCTTTTGGCCTATATTGAATCTTTGTATGAAGATGATGATGGAAATTCTACTTACAATAATTATCAACTGGATGACACTATTATAGCTAATGTCACCTCTAACGATAGCTGGACTGCTAACCTCTTGACAGATTTCAATACTTATAGAAATTCTGAAGAACAATCAGATCTACTTTCTTTTGGAATAGAATAATCAGATCCAGCTTCTCCTAAGTCAGAACAGTCGAAACTACTTTCTTTCAAGTCAAAAAGCAAGGATCCAACATCTAGTAAAAAGGGTAAGAGTACTAATCAGTCTTGCTCCTCTTCATCCAAGTTGAAAAAGTTACAAAATATTGCTGAAAATGAAAATCTTAAATCAAAGAAGTCAGAAAAGAAGAGAAGGAAACGTTATTTTTCTTCTTATTATAACTCTTCCTTCTCATTTAGTTCAAAATCTGAATATAATAGTTCTGATCATAATGAACCAAAGGTAATCCCTTTCGATCCTATTAATACTAGAACTCAAAATAAACTAGATCTTTTCTGATTGTTACAAGGACTCTGAACTGTTCTAAGGTCTTTTAGTTTTAATGAACAACATGAGACAAAATTTGTTGACCTACCAACCTTTAAAGGTGAAGACCAAGATCCTCATGATTGGTTGAAAAGATACAATAATGCAAGTGATGCAAATAGAATTTAGATAAGAGATATCTCACATTAATACCTTCATTTTTAAAAGCATCAGCCCTTATTTAGTATAATAAAATCAGAAATAAAAAGGACTTACAATACTGGGATAACCAAACTAATCAACAATATAAGCATTAATTCTTTATCTATCATTTTTTGAAATATTATTGTATCACTCACCGATAAATGCAATAGCATTCTGCACTTAGGTGATACAAACAACATCTTAGAAAATCAGTTGAGGATTATGCTGCTAATATTGTGTCATTATACCTTAAATTGAATTCAGATTATAATATATCTGAGGATAAAAAGATTAAACAATTTCTGCAAGGATGTCAACCTGAATTCCATACCGCTATTGCTGTCGCTGCATCACATGACTTAAAGGAAGTTATTGATTGAGCACAAGCTGTTGAAGCAGTATTATCCAAAGATAGTAAACTCTCAGGTTACTTCTTAAGCAAAGCATATTTAACACAAAATGAGAATAATATTTCTGAAACCTTTAATACCACTCTGAACATGCAACAACTCATTGATAAAAATAATGAAAATTATTAAAAAAGTTCAAGCAACTTCTGACTACCTCTAACACTACTCTATAATCTCAAAACATACCTTCTCATCCTGCGAATACCAGCAACAATTAGAGGAATAATAATAATACCAATAGTTATAATAATAATAATTGTAATAATAATCAGAGTATTCAAAGTTGTTATAACTGTAGACAAACTGGACATCTTGCTAGAAAATATACCTAACAGAGAAATTACCAAAACAATCAAAATAATGGAGGAAAAAATCAATATTCTCAAAATAATACATCCAATGTAAAAATTAGTTGTCATAATTGTTAGCAAACAGGACATATTACCAAAAACTATATCCTTTTTGTAGTCAGTTTAGACATTAGAGAAGTTTATATCTAAATAGAAATACAAATAACAATAATATGGGATATATCAATAGAAATACCAATATATCAAGTAGATATAATAATAATAATGATGGATAACATGCCGCACTTTTTCAAACTATGCTGATATACAGCTTGATTTTTACATCTCCTTCTCAAACATCAATGACCTTACCAGTGCCAAACCTATCACCAATAACTAATAGTAATATCTTCTCCTCTTTATCACAGTTTTTAAACTATTGATAGTATCTTTAGAGGGTGAATATACCAATGAATATATAAATCCCTTAGAACTACCAAAAGCAGTTAAAGTCATTTATTGTAGTATCACAGTAGATAATAAACCAATTTATTTAATATTGGATTTTGGGTCAGCAGAAAGCATAATATCTAAAGCTTTTTTACAACAATTAGGATGAAAGATTGAATAATAATAATAATTAATATACAAGGCGGACAATCTCGACCTTTAGGATAAGTTACAAATATTCTATTACAATTAAATAGTATAAAAATCCTTATTAATGTAGATATTACTGAATTAACTGACCATTATATTGTAACAGAAAATAAATGGCTTTTAAAATGCTAAGGATGACTTTATTAGGACTATCAAAAGTTTACATTTTACTGGAATAACAAGGAACACTAAATACCAATGACTTGTTAGAAGAAACCACAATTTGACTATTTCTAATAACCAGTAGTCATTACTAATAAATCATTAAACAAAGAATATGAGGATGAATAATTGATAGTCCAATGACATTATGTAGTATTTGAAGATCAAGATGATTTAATTCCTTTAGCAAAACGTAATCCAAAACAAATTTCTGTAAAAGGATAAAAGTATTTACTTCAATACTTCGTAAGTATAAAACAAAAATTTAAAGTTCAACTACCTAAAAATACATACTAAGTGAAAATTTAATTGGCAAGAACTAGGAAATCAATGTTGGTGCTATAACAAATTAAATAACAGTGATGATGTTTACCAACTTTATAAAAAGGAATAGGATCATTAGTAACTATTGCAAAATATTCCTGATGAGCTAGCACTTCAAATGAATATCTACTCACATCTGAATAAGCATCAGTGATTACAAATCACCAGATTCCTCGATAAAAATGAAAATGCATTTGCCAATGACTTATCTTAATTAAGACACACCACTATAGAAAATCACTACATTTCAGTAGAATCCTATGCTAATATAATAGCATGCATATCGAGTAGCTCTATTAAAACAAGAATTTATTAAAAATAAAATTGATAGAATGTTGAAACATAATTTAATTCAATGTTCTGAGAGCTTTTGGGTCTCACAAGTTGTTCTAATAAGGAAAAAGAATGAAAAGCTTCGATTGTATATCGATTATAGGAAACTAAATAGTATCATTCAATAGGACATATATTCTTTACCTTGCATTGATGAATTACTTGATACAGCCTTTATAATTAGTTAAGGACTTTATAAATTTAAGGTCATGTTGTTTGGATTAACAAATATCCTTGTAACCTTTCAATATCCTATAAACAAAATCTTTAGAGAAGAAATTGAACGATTTGTAGCTGTATATCTCGATAATATAATCATTTTCTCAATTACCTTTGAGGAACACTTACAATATTTACAGTTAATTTTTAAAAGACTAAGAGATGCTGGACTAAAACTTGAGAAGGATAAATATGACTTTTCTAAGTTAGAATTAGCATTTTTGAGACATATTATTAGTAGGCAAGGAATCTCTCCTGACCTTTTCAAAATTGATAAAATCAAGAATTTTCTTATCCTAAGAAATATTACTGTGCTCTAAAGATTCTTAGGCCTCACATCTTATTATAAGAGATTCATTCAGAATTTTTTTATATCAGATACACCTTTATATTTGTTATTACAAAAGAATATGTTTTATATTTGAACTGAATCACAACAAAAAGCATTGAAACAATTGGAAATCTGTTTGACTACTATATCAGTTCTAATATACCCTGATTTTAAGCAAAAGTTCTTGCTATTTACTGATGAATTGTATATTGGACTTGAAGCAGTATTAGTATAATTGGATGATGATAATAAGGAATGTATTATAATTTATGCTAGCCAAAGTATAAGTGGTGCTGAACAGAACGATGCTCTAACTGAATTAGAATGTCTTTTTGCTATATGAAGAATGGAACATTTCTGATCTTACTTATTATACTAGCAATTTGAATTAATTATCGATCACATAGCCTTACAATAGCTTTTTAATAAATCAGATCCACTTCACAAATTTATGAGATAGATTATTTGCATAATAGAATATCCTTATTAGATTCAATATAAAAAAGAAAAATTACACTCAAACGCTGATGCATTATCTTAACTTCCTTTACAGTAAACTGATTATTTATTAGAATTTTAGAGTGAAAGCGAAAGTGCTAGCAGTATGACTAGCAGCTTGACGAACATGAAATTCGCAACTTATTATCAACTATTTCAATATCTTACTCAACTTATGTATCCTTCAAACTTTACTCCTTCACAATAACTCGCAATTCAAAAATAAGCATAACATTACTTCGTATAAAATCAACAACTTTATAAATGTAATTGCAAACATTTTTCTCAACCATTGCTTGTAGTAAAATCAAATGAAATTGTATGTTATAACAGTGTAAATTTTGGCTAAAATCTGCTTACAAATCCAATATTAATTAAATGTTCTTGTTTATCATCTCGTTGATCCTAAAGTCAACTTTATGTTTTGAGATAATTAATGTGAAATATTGTAGATCTTTTTCAGTATAACGAGAAACTTTATTGATATGATCATCCTTGCTAATCAATTTTGTCAACTTTATTTCCTTGACGATATCATTTATTTTTCATAAATATATTTAGTTTAGTTTATTTTATAACTATCAAAACATGTATAAATACCTTTGTATTTTATCAAGAAATGATACCAATGAATAAATCCATTAATTAATACATACCTTAAGAAGGAGTAAGGATAATATTTCATTGGATGAAATTATTATCTAATGACCTTACGAGGTAGAAAACTTACAATTTATTATATTATTAATAAAGCGTATAATTAACCAAGTTAAAACTTATCTTTCGCAACCTTTAACCTGTATATATATTATTATTGTTTATTAACTTTGCATGGTATTGTGTTGATTCGTTGTATTGACTTAAGGTGTAGTCACTAAAACATAATCTCTGAAATATCCAGAAATTACTCGTATGTAATTGAGAATAATCTTTGACGTTTACTACAAATATTCATTGTGATTCCCTGAGTTTAGTCTTAGCATTATTAATTTTTATGAATTTTATTTGAGTTACAAATCAAACATAACATTTTGGTGCTCCTTATAAGAAACGAAAACAATTATCAGCATGATTAGAATTGAAATATTGTATTGAAAGTGTTGTATTGATTTTATGTTAAGAATTACTAAAATATCTTTTACTGAAATATTTTAAGTTAGTTAAATCAATTCAACAAATAGAGTTATAGAATTTTGATGTGATACATTAGTCAATGATAATGTCTTAATTTAGTTACTGGATAACACTTAAAATAATTTGAGTAGC